GATCAATAGCATTTTTAACGAATACACCGAGTTTCCTATTGATTATCTCGTATGCATTATTCGTTTTTTGTGGCGGAAAATTCAAATTAATTTCTGTATCATCCGCATAACAATGAATGTTGCATTGCTGAATACTTCTAAGAAGATTGCCGGAGTAAAGAGCAAACAGCATAGGACCTAATATTGAGCCAGATATGAGTGGAAGATAGTTAGACTCTATGTTGTCAATAGATACTCTCTGGAACCTATTTCTCTCGAAAGCCCTATATATGTCAGAATACCAAGTGAAAGTGTGTGATTTAATGTATCAAACGCCCTACTGAAATCCAACAAAATGAGTATAGTATACTGTCCTTGGTCGGTTGCTCTTATAATATCATCAACAACGTGCAGGAGTGCGGTTGTGCAACTGTATCCTTTTCTGAACCCCGATTGAACAGGTGGCAGTATATCTAATTCCGAAATATGTTCTTTTAACTGCCTCTCCATCGCGCGCTCTAATATTTTTGACAAAGTAGGTAGGATACTGATAGCACGAAGATCTTTATATTCAACAGGGTTTGATTTTTTCGGCAGTACTTTAAGTAGCGCTCTACCCCAAGTCGCTCTACCTCTAGGTCAGGCCAGGTATTTCTTGAAGCACTCTCATATATAAAGAAAAAATGAAATTTCAATTTTTTTTTGTTTTTCTCATGTATATCGGAAACCAAAGTAACGCAGATTTGATGTCGATCAATTGACATAGACAACTTTGCCACAATTCAACTTGCTCTTTATCTGATAATGTTTACGAGATCCTTATGTTAAGATTCGAAATTGTCCAGTACTGGAGTGCAGATTAAAAAGAAAGACATATCCGAATGTAAGCAAAAGACAAACAGATTGAATTTTCTCCAATGTCGTTGAAGACCATTTTCTCTTCCCTCGTATGTTAAACATTCCGAGGAGTACCCTCAAATGAATTGAATATTTCGAAATATCCCTATAATTATGGCGAACATCGGAGATACTTTCGAAGACCTGGCCGTTATTACGGCATTCCAGGACTTGTCAATAATAATAGGAAGAGGCCCACAAGAGGCTGTCGCTGAAATAGAGGCGTGGCTTTGCTCCTATAACCTCCCAACAAGAGGAACAACACGGCTCAACGGTCTTTGATTGATTTGGATTCGTGTCCAAATATTAGTTGCCAAGATTCAGATTTATTAAACAGTGGCGTTGCTAATGCTGGAGTAAACTAAGACATTAATTCATTTTTGATATGATTTTCTAGAATTAGTACTGCCTTTTGGCGAAAATTTTATGATTCAGTTGAAGTGCTGATAATTACAAAAACATATCACATAATCCATTCACACAATTCAAAATGATAATGAAAATAAATGCAACAAATCTATAGAAGGTCATATATACTGGGTACGTCGGGATACTTGTGGATACTTGTGGGACCATCAACACTAGAATTGAACATTCACAATTCTAATTTTATATCAAACTCAATTCTATTTTTGTATGAACATTTTTAGATATTTTCATCTTCCAAAATCTGAGAAACCCTTCTGACATCTGTCGAAGAACTTTGAAAACAAAGTGAAAGAAAGGGAAAGTAACATTTGATTTTTTTTCATTTCTGAAGACGTGGGCGGATTTTATTCTCTAAAACGTTAAGATGAGTATTTGTACAATTTCTCAGCTCAGTACCTCATCAGAGTGAACAGAAAAGTAAGTTTTTTCTGAAATTATAAAATAGTTTTGTTTTTGAGGGGTTGTTGAGGTGAAAATTCTTAGGAAAGGCGATGTAAATATCTGCTTTCTTACACAAGAATCACTTTTGTACAGTATTTGGAATCATACAGTATACTTTTCTATATCCTTCATATAATTGAATCGAGAAAACAATATATGAACCCATAATCAATTTTATTGATAGCATTTTCAGTATGAGTTTGAAAAATTCATAATTTTCAGAATTTGGTGAGATATACCTACTCTGATTCTTCTTCGATTATATTATTACGTGTGGCATATAAAAATTAGAGTATGTAATAGAATTGCCTTTCACTACGATGAAACGCCAGATGTGCAGAAAATATCACCGATGTCTGTGAGAGTGTACAGGTGAATCCGAGACAATTTACATCGCGTCGCTCACAAGAACTCGGCTTTCTGCAGACCACAACTTGCCGAATTTGGCGTCGTAACTTGGGCCTGCATCCGTACAAAATTCTACTGGCCCAGCAACTGATGGTGAACGACCATAGACGACTTGTGTTCGTTGAATGGGCTTTGGAGCAGTTGGCAAACTGACTTTAATTTTCATAGAACAATCATCTACAGCGATGAGGCCCATAAATGGGTACGTGGGAAAACAAAAATGTCGAATTAGGGGCGTAACCAATCCAAGAGCGTCCAATGCATTCCGAAAAAGTCACTGTTCAGTGTGGATTTTGGGCAGGCGGAGTCATCGGTCCATTTTTTTGAGAACGACGTTGACCAGGCCATTACGGTCAACGGCGAGCACTTCAGGTCGATGATTACCAACTTCTTTTGGCCTGAATTGGATAATCTGGATACCAATGCATTGTGGAATATGGAGTATTGACCAAAAACAATATCGTAGTCGTGCTTCGGCCACCGTATTCACCAGATTTGGCCCCGTGCTTCCTTTTTCCAATATAGAAGAGATCCATGAAAGGGTGGCGTTTTGCGACGACTGAGAATACAAAAGCCGACTCGATGAGGGCGTTCAAGGACATACTAAAAAGTGCATATTAGAATTGCTTCGAGGATTGGAAAAAACATTTTCACAAGTATATTTAATTTGAGGGGGACTATATTGAAGAACAAAAATAAAATGGAAATGAAATGAAAATGTATCTTATTTTTTTAACAGACAGCGTATTTCCATCCATGTGGCCGTAACAAGGCGTTAGTATCTTCCCTCATGGAGATACTATGGCATGGAATTGACAGAAGAGCCACTCCACGAATAACAAATATAAACAAGGCTTGTTCTTTGAAGGCAGTTGCGATGCTTTCGTGGTTCAGCTTAGTACCACTTATGAGATCTATTGCGAGTCAAAGCAGCGCTGCCCAGTGGTGAACCATGAATGTTTTGATTTTGTTTCATCTAGCATTGACTCACCATACAAGGAAACAATGTAAATTTGACTCAATATGTATCATTTAATATAAGTTAGTAGTACTGTACACTGGTTACATACATTACACATGGATCTCAATATATTATCATCGATGTGGCTGCAGAAAGATATTTGATTTAAAAAATACTTATAATGAAAATATAACTCAACATTGAATAAATAGCTTTTAAACACCCGTATCGAAAAGAGAAATGTATAATTCTGAAATTAATACCAAAAATGTTCTCACATTGTTCTCAGTCTATAATAATTTAAATTCAATCACAAAGAACTTCTGGAATGCTGAATATTTCCAGTCAGCTCCGAAACAACACAACAGAATTCTTCTACAAAATTGTTAATTAAATTTTTGTGTAGTTTAGAAATTCTCAACGAATCCCTGTCTGAACGATTCTATGAGACCTAACGCAAGCCTTGAATATCACAAATAACTCTCTGCTAATGATTTTGACACAAAAGTAGATATGAATGCGATGAATGATGCAGATAATTGGATTGACAAATGTAGGTGAGAGCACTGCTCCGAAAATGAATATTGAACACAATTTTTGTATATTCTTATAATAGAGGCAATAATTATAAGCTTTGTAAAAAAAAGCAAGCAAAACTAAACCAGTTGTTAGTTTTCAATAAGTATGAAATCGTATTTTATGATACCATAGATCAAGCAACTGTTCTGGAGCTTCTGAATTCGTTTGATATCAATGGAGTTTATACAAGAATCATAAAAGCATTAATTTGTCCTGGTTAACACTAAAGAGTCACATAGTTAACTTCCAAATAGTTAACTTCCAAAACTGCCTATTTTGATTAATCAATTCGAGATTACAGTATGATTTTTGTAAACTTGTGCAGATATGATATAGAAATCTCATATCTTGGTCCATCCACAAACCCAGACTTTTAACTTCATGTGTTAAAGGACTTCTCCAATCTGAATGCTACCAAAGTTGTATGCAATACTTTTTTTTCTTGCATTATTTCTATCAAAAACGATTCCAAGAGTTTCATTTGAATTCAGTATTGCACAATTGTTCATACAAAATTACCCAATATTATACATATTAGAATTCGAAGTACTAATAGCCTGAGAGAAATTTTCAGGATTGAATAACAAATATAATTATGTATCATTAGCACAATAGTGCTGCGTGCAAGATAGAAAAGATTTAGGAAAATTGCAAGTATATAGACTGAAGACTAGGGTCCCCAACACTGACCCTTTTGGTACTCCTCCATCAATTTGAAAATTTAGAAACTTTTCCACTATATAGTACTGCCTGAGTTCTATCGCTTAAATAGCAGGATAGAAGTTTGCAAATTTTTCTGCTGATCCCTACAAAGTTGAAGATGGCTTGCCTGTTATATTCTGTCATTGAGATTATCAAATTTCTTAAAATAATCTTGTGATATCAAAACACATTCTTTTCCTTCATCAGTAGGATCGATTATGTTATCCGTAACTTTTAAAAGAGCCTAAGTGCAGCTATGACCTGGCCTGAAACTAGATTGTTTTTTAATAATATCGTTTTTCAATAAATGTTTTCAAATTTGGTTTTCAAAAATCCTCTTCAAAATTTTAGATGAAGTGGAGAGTATACTGATTGGTCTGGTATCATTTAAACTTGCAGGATTCAAATTCTTGGGTAAATGTATAACCTGAGCTTGTTTCCACGCTTTTGGAAAAACAGAGTTATTCAGACAGCAATCAATTTGCAAAATGTGTAATTGAGTGCAAAGGTGTATCGTTAGAATATCAGTGCCATCTGTATCTCCCTGTTGCTCTATTTTTCAATTTTTCATTATATTATTGTCCAGAAATCAAAGACGAGGATATTGAATTCTTCTCAACACTTCTTTTATTTTACTTAGTATAAACTAGTTCAGAACACAATGATAGTTTGAAATGAACAAATCTCAAACAGGAAAAATTATTTTTGAACCAAATCGGTCACTGAATGTTTTTTAGGTTACTACTATATAAAAACTCCTTCAACGAGTGATAAAACTCCAACTGTTCTTGTTCACTCAAACTCACAATCTTTTGGAAAATTTGGTCAACATACGGAGTCCTTATGAATGTACTGACATAAACATTGACAAACGTCACCATCAGATACTGACAATCGAACCTATCCATTATTCCCCCATGACCAGGAATGGTATCTCCAAAATTTTTAACATTGACGGCCCTCTTGAAACCAGAAGCGAAGAATCCTCCAAAAGGTGCTATTACACTGGCGAAGAATGACAAAGAAAAGGAATGCAGTATAAAAGGATATGTATTGAATGAAATTCCACTGTTTCCCAGCTGATACTCAGTCACTTTGAACACTGGACTGCGGGTGCAGTTAGTGTCCAAGACTATGCTATCATTTTGTTCCACGTATTTCACCGGGCAAACTAAGTACTGAACCCTGCAGCAAAGGTAGGATAATAGGGCTCCCAGGACGAACGTGCTGATGCCACCCATGATGAATCCTTCGACGGTTTTCTTAGGGGACAAACTTATCAATTGCCTTTTTCCATAATGACGCCCAAAAACGTAGGCGAAGACATCGTTGATTATCACGAGCATAAGAGGAACTAGGCACCATATTATACCTTCGAAGGTGGTATGCACAATCAAGTGAGATTGTAGGCAGAATAAGACTGTGAGAAAAAATGTCCAGAAGAATAGACCGAACAGATGCCTAGCGTTTTGCCTATTCCTTCGAACTAACGCCAGAAACCAGATGATTCCCGCTAAATACAAACAAAATGAAATAAATCTGTGATACGTGACGAGCAGCTGGAGAGAACGATATTTTTTCACGTACACTTCGAGATACTGAGCGAGGGTTTCCCCTGAGAAGAAATAGTTAGCGGTGATGACGAAATACCAATTCAGCGTCCTGAAGTGGGGAATGTCCGGTATTTTCTTTCTGCTATAAGCTATGATAATCACTTCATCGAAGCATTTCATTTGGATGATCAAAGTGTTTAGCAGGATTAAAGGGACTCCTGTGTATACACTGAAAGCCAAGTATGCTACTAGGGAGAGTCCGGTTATGGTACGTTTTAGTCCATTACTTTTGATTCTTGTTTTCAATGTCCATCGCAAAGGCTTTGATGTTCGGGTTTCAGGTTTCTCGTCCATTGTTGTCTCGGTGGCCGACTTTTTGTTCTGTAATGAATCATTTGGATTAGTCAGTGTGTGGAAAATGCAAGAATGAGTTTCAAAAATTACCTCGAAATCACAATTCATTTCCGGCAATACTGTGACGTCTTTCACGTTTCTGTTCTGTCAGATTGTCAGAGGGAGACAATACAGGACAGAAAGTTATTGTTCTATGATTTGTTTTGAAATTGTTGTAATTCATGAACGATATACATTGTTTGATAGTTGATTTATATTTTTGTTCAAATGAAGATCTATAGAAATTATAATTCATTTTTGTGAATACAAATACCAGACATTTTTAACTGACATTCTCAAACCAACTCAAGAAATTTTAAAGTTTCATGGCCAAGCTTTGCCGTTATTAAATTAGATTTCAGTTGTACAATTTAGTGACATGAAAACTCACTAGATATCAGAAGATTGATTCTTTGAGAGACATTTTTTGATGGATCTATGAGCAGCCACAGTCCATCGCGTATTTCTGATATGTACCGCTCTTGGTGGAATGAAATTTTTCAAGTATCTATAGAAGAGAGACAAATCTCCAACCCTTCTTCGATGTATCAGACTATCAATATCGCAAGTGATGTTCGTGTCTCCAATCAGGCGGATGGCCTTTTTTGGATGGAATCCAGCAGCTTAAAGGTATGCTGAGGAGCGGAGCTTTATACATGACAACAATATTCCAAAAATGGTCTGATCTGAGCTTTATGAAGCCAAGATGTGTACAATTTTCTGGTTTGGAACAGTGTTCCAAGCTTTGCAATTCCAGCGACATGATTGTGCTAAGACATATTGGTGTCCATTTTTACTCCCAAATTACTCCAAAATTTTTGAGTGTACTTACGTATTTTGATGCGTAGAAAAAAGCGGCGCTTTATTTAAAAAGTTACGGCCCTTCAAAGTTCAGAAAGGGGCGACTTTTCAGTCTTCTTTTCACGAAATAAACTATTTAAAAACACAAGTGTTTATTCACTAGCCCACCTTTACACCTTATTCCACCTTCTTTGATAGTTTTCACTTTATTAATCAACATTTTTCCAATAAAAATAAAAAAAAATGTTCGGAGCTATTTTTTGGTTACATATTTCTGTATTTTACGTTTTTAAGGTTAATGGCATGGTTGGTACGACTGATACAGTCAATATTCCTAAAGTAATTCAAATGTTTTTTACCTTCATTCTTTAGATCGTAAATTGATTTTTGGTGGCGTATTACGAATTTGAAATAGTAGGCGGCGTCAAAAATACCAACCGCTTTTTTCTGAAATGTCACTAGTCACCAGGAGAAGCATTCGTTTTCAAATTAGAATTTTTATTAGAAAAATGTTGATTATTGAAGGTTAGATGTAAGAAATGGATACATGCTTCGAGGAGAGTGGATTCAACAGTGCAAAAAATAAATAAATATTCATATGTATGCTCTAAACACTAAATGAATAGTAAATTTTTCATAGTTAATTACCATTGATCAGAATGAGATATAACCTCAATCGTTCATTAAATTATATTCATTTATTATATTTGATTACATTTATTCCATTACCATCTATATTTGATTCATATTTCATTCGGAAATAAATCTGAAATTCATAATTATTTTAAATTTCTCTTATTACAGTTTGAATCTACCGCTAGTCTTTCACTGGAGTCTGTATACTAAAACCTGTCTATTGATTCACTTTTTTTTTCAGTTACTTTTAAATTACGGCATGCAAGCCAACGTTTTATTATTACAACATTGTTGTCCTTTACAGTGGCAAATATAAGTTTTGCTCCAGGAACATCTTCTTGTGTTAAAAACATTCTTTTTTGATTATACTTTACCATATATTTATATGAGGATTAGGCAGTGTTTGTCCCTACTGAACTACTAGCGTTGCTAGTGAGTGATTTTTCGTACTTCAGGAAAAAGGTTCATTCATGAAAAACGTAAAATTACGTACCTTTGATCTGATATGGCACACTGACTTATCACACCTCACTCAATTATCATATTTCAATTGTAAACCATTAGTATTTGACCATTGCATAGTGCAGGTTAGGTATTATTGTCTTTTTATAAAACGAAAACTTATTGTTGAAGTGAATGTGAATCCAAGCCATACGTTATATGTGAGTAGAAAACCATATTTCCTTCAATAATCGTAGGCAATTATATCCTTTACGTTCGGTGCTAAATCTAAAGTGATAAGGAAAAGGCGAGAGTACTGTTCCACCACGAGTCGGATAGTCAACCTTATATCCAGATTGTTCATTCAAATTCAATTCGTAAACTATGGATGACACAGGCCAACAAATTTCAGAGGATTGTATTCGTTTGGAAATGACGAAACTGCAGTAATGTTAGTTACAAATACAAGTGGTAAAAAACATAGAAAGTTTTATTTTTAATTTTTCATCATGATTTCCTTTCACTCAGGGCCGTCGCCATCGGGGGGATGGGGGAAGCCTCCCCCCTGCTCTTTCGACTTGGGAAAAAGTTGGGAAGTTTTGGGCCGTGAACATAGAATAGAAACAAATAATGGTGAAAAAAATTTGAGGGAAAAAAGGGAGAGGTGATAAGAAAAGGGAAAGGACCAGGAGGAAGTTGGGATTTCCCAACATGCATAACTTGGAGATCCCATACTTTGAAATTCTGAGTTGTTTGAAAACTTCAAAAAAGTTCAATTCCTCCTAAGTAAGAGAACAGTCCTGAACAGTCCACAAATTTTGAAGTGACAATTTTACAAAATTCCCAACTTTCCGCTGTTTTTTCGACTTGGAAAAGTTGGGAAGACAGAAAAAATGATAGTAGAAAACAATGAACACAATATTATTTAAATGTTGTTTCTTTTCATTTGTATTGAATATTCCTATACATGATGGATATGGTGGAAGACCAAGGACCTTGGTCCAAAGTAGAATAATTCCCATTATTATTTTTATAATTACAAAAATTTATTTTTGTTTGTGCAAACCCTAACGGGCATAAGCATTCAGCCAATCTTTTGATAGCTAAGATAGCTAACTGAGTGGCTACTCACTGGAATTACTACAAACAGTTGAGGAATCTGACTAATAAAACAATAAAGCTTGAAAAGAAAGCGTATCTAGAGTTTCAACTCCGTAACAAAAATAATATTTGGAAAAAACTCTCTGATCTTGGTTTAAGTAGCAGACATCCTAGAAAAACTATTCCCGATCATTCAAAAAATTCAAATGAAATCAATAAATTTTTTTGTGAAAATAATTCTCACAATACTCAACCAGATGATGATTTTCTCTCATTTCTCTCTGAAATTGAAATGAATACTCAAAATAATTTTCGATTTAGGAGAACATCCGAAAAAGACATCTAGGAATTCATGCTCTCAGTGAAATCTAATGCTGTTGGTCCTGATAGCATTAGCATTAAAATGCTACTTCATTCTAGTCCTTTTATATTACAGTTTATAAAACACATTTTCAACACCCGTATCGATTTTAGTGTATTCCCTACAACCTGGAAGCAATCTCACGTTCTCCCTCTATGTAAAGTCAACGATCCCCAGAATTTCAGTGACCTCCGCCCTATAAGCATTTTATGTGCCATATCTAAAATTCTAGAAAAAATCCTCTATAAACAAATCCGTGAGTTTCTGGAGGAAAATAAAATATTACCATCATCCCAATCAGGTTTTAGACCAGACCATAGTTGCACGATTGCACTTTTAAAAGTCGTAGATGATATTCACAAATCAATAGACAGCAATGAACTTTCTGTTCTTGTATCAATAGACTTTTCCAAAGCTTTCGATAGAATATGCCATCAGCTTTTATTGCCTTATCAAAATATCTTGGATTTGCGAACTCTTCTGCCGGTCTAATTGATAACTATTTGAACAGTCGATCCCAATGTGTTATTCTGGATAATCAGCCTTCAGATCGTCTTGGAGTTTTTGCAGGTATCCCTCAAGGGTCTATCCTTGGCCCTGCATTATTCGTGATATATACGTCACAATTTCCCAGATGTCTCAAGTATACTAAAATTCACAGTTACGCAGATGACACTCAAATCTATATGCAATTTCCTGAAAGTTCACTGGCGATAGCTTGCCAACAAATCAACCAAGATCTGAATTCGTTTTTAACCACCTCTAAAAAATACTGTCTAACAATCAATCCTTCTACAACTGTTGCCATGCTATTCCGGAGGACAGCAATGAGAAAAAGATGTCAAAATCAAGTTTCGATTCTTCTTGATAGTGTTAATCTTAGTTTGTCTGAGCGCACTAAAAATCTTGGTCTCACAATAGATCAGTCTCTCAGATTTTCACCATATGTTTCACTAATCCTGAAGACGGGATATTGCAGCTTGAAAACTATATATTCGAATAGGGAGATTCTCAATAGACCATCCAAGAAATTGCTGTGTGATGCCTTGGTACTATCTCACGCAAACTACGCAGATACTGTATATGGCCCAAGTTTTTTACAGTCTGACAAAAGAAGACTACAAACTTTGCAGAATTCTTGTTTAAGACTTATCACTGGAACAAAAAGGCGACAACCTATTTCTCATCATTTGAGTAGTCTAGGATGGCTAAATATGATGGCCCGAAGGATATTCCACTCTTGCATTTCATTTCATAATATAATCTCTACGAAAGTACCGAGTTATCTTTATGAAAAGATCAGCTTCCGCAACGATGTTTATCACCTGAACTTGAGATTCAAACATCATTTAGCCACTCCATCCTATAAAACTTCATTATTTCTATGCTCCTTTTCATATAATATATCTCGGCTGTATAATCGACTCCCTGACTCATTGAAGTCACTGTCGCTTGCAAAATTCAGAAAAAAGCTGAAAGATGATTTACTTTCAAATGAATTTTTCCTACCAAATTCATTGTCTAGCTGTAAATAATGATCCACTTATATGTGTGTGTATATGAATGCCTATGTGTATATACATGCAAATATCTGTTTCTAGGTGAGATAATTAGCCAACATTTTTCTGTTTCTTTACTAGTTTTTATCATCGTTTTGTAGGCGAACTGTTAGTTGACATTTTTCTATTTTTTTATTGTTTTTTCATTGTCGTTCATTGAACGAAATAAGGATAGGTGATAGCATAAGTGGTTAATGATGAGAATTCATTTGTAATTATTGTTATGAAGACGGTTGAATGGAAGAGCAAGTTCTGATTGCGTTACTCAAATGACAAGATCAGAACCTGAATTCTGCCTTTTGACAAAAATGTAGGATATCATTTAACAACTGCCTGTTTTTTTTATATCTACTATATAATTAATCCTAATAGAACAATTATGATACATTTTTTGATTCAGTGAAAGTGCTGGGTACCCTGTTCATTGTATTTGATACAACTTTGTAGTGGAAGCGAACTCCAAGTGATACGAATAATATATAATTTGTTCCTTCCAATTGAGGTCTCCTTGTATACCATGCTACCAGGGTACACAAAAACATCGCCTTCCGAATACCTTTCATCCGGCACGCTGGGAAGGTGAATGATAAATACTTTCCCAGGTTATTATCGGAACTGAATTGCAGAATCGTCCATTGTCGACGAGCTCAAAATATCTCCGAGGTCTATCTGCTAATGGAACGAGTGAGACACCGGGCGTGGACATGTCAAAAGTAACGCTATTGTTGGAGCTTTCTAGTGTTTTAGTGCTACGATTCGTGGGAAAGTCCGAATCGATTGCCTACCCACCCGAATTGAATACCTGTAATTATTCATTAATCAATTAGTATGGATTCTTTCGGGCTGACCTGGATGGAGATAAAGAAACTAATAAATCTCACGCGGGTTGAATATCCGGTTGAAGTGGATACGGAGGTAATAAAGCGAGCGATATTTTGCTTTTATTGTGAGAATGGAGTATGAATATTTCAATACCAATTATCTGTTATCACCATCGCAATATGATTTTAGGCAGGGTTTTAGCACGGCTACAGCTCTTGCTACTGTCACACAAAACATTGTTGAGGGATTTGATAAGGGGATGATTAGCACTCTGGTAAGGTTACGTTAGGTTGGGTTAGGTTCGGCTCTGCCGAATTCTTACCATCTGACCTGAAAGACCACTCACCATACAATCAAATCGGCTGTCTTCCGACTGTCCAAGTCTCTGCATATGTGCACTCTGGTACTACTATATTTTCCGAAAGCATTCGATACCATCAATCATGAGCTGATTTGAATGAAACTTAAATATTATGGTTTTGATAGTGCTGCCTTATTTCTCATCTGGTCTTATTTACTTGGTGAATCCCAAAAAGTTGTTGTTGATGGTCATCACTCCTTACCTCTTGATATTCTATCAGGAGTACCACAGGGTTCCATTTTGGGGCCTTTATTTTCCATCATTTATACTACTGACACTATCTCGTCCATTAAGAAATGTAAAATACAGGCGTACGCTGATGACATACAATTGCACTTTAAAATCGATGAGTATGCTGAGGCACAAAATATCTTCAACACTGATCTTGATCTGACCAATGGACTATCAAGTGAACATGATTTGAAAATTAATCCTAATAGAACAATTATGATACATTTTGGATCACAGAAGAATCGTAAATTTGCAGAAAACAATTTCTATTTAGAAGTAGGTCATACTATCTTGACTCCTGTCAGTACAGCTGAAAACTCAGGGGTGATGCTTGACACTGATCTTGGATTCACTAGTCATATTGAAAATTTAATGAAGAAAGCTTATATGTCATTGAAACTGTTATACTGTGATCGTTTTATTTTGAGCCAACCTCTAAAAAGAATGCTCTGTGATAGTTTGGTGCTAAGCCATTTCAACTACTGTAACTTCATATATGGGCCATTCTTATATGATTCAGCTAGAAAAAGAATATAAAAAGTGCAAAATTGCTGTTGCCGCCTAATTTATGGACTTTGTAAGTATGATTCAATTTCTGGATCCTTTTAAAACTCCCGCTGGCTCAATATGAAAAACCGTATGATTCATCATTCGGGTTGTTTTGTTCATGAAGTGATTACCCTGCCCCATTCTACCCCTTTAATACAAAAACTAATTCTGCGTGAAAATATTCACTCAAGAAACATTAGACACAAAAACAAATGAACTATGCCACAAGATCGCACTGCACATTTTCATAGATTATTTCTTTTTGGTGCTGTAAAACTCTTTAATTCATTGCCCGAGCAATTGAAGAGATTCAATATCAGAAAATTCAAATACAAATATGAAAATTATATATATGATAGTCAATAATATCAACTTTTGCTCTTTGGACAAATCAATAAACAACAGATCAATTAAATTTCATTATTTATCAACTTTCTCTATATGTAATCACAAATTATTATTTTTATTTACGTTTCTCATTTAATTGTCTTATTTTTGTATGTTCGCGTGCATTATGGAGTGGTGCTTGTTGGTTGAGTTAGAGTTGCTTTGAGCTAGACTTCGCCAAGGAGTACCAGAATCTCCTTTAACCTATTTTCATTTTCAAATGTATCTTGAATCAGAGGCGTAATAAATCAATAATTCAGAGACCAAGAAGATCAATGGAAAAAAATAGCTGAGTATTGTCAACAACGTACGTTCCAGTATTTTGCCATCTTCACGTTAAATTTTTGGAAAATAAATTTTTATCTATTTTTGCCTTATGATGCTGTTACAGTCAGTAGGAGATTTCATTCGAGTTTTTACAGAGTTTACCACATAACTGGATCCAAGAAAACGAAAACGATAAGAAAAACAGGATAGCCGCATTTCATTCAAATAAAATATATTTCAGTTTGGACAAGAAGTTATTCGGGATGTAGATATTCATTTCTAGAATGCTTTGGTTATCAGGCGTCTGAAATTGAAAATGTTGAAATGAATCAATGGAATATAAAAAATCATGAAATTCAGAATTCAACAGTGGAGGAAAATGAACCAAATAACTTGCTGGTCTGGTTAAAAAACTTCTGAAGTAATATTTCATTTCCTCTATTTTGAATATTTCCAACAAGTCCACTAGCTGATTTATATATTGCGATACAAAAGAAATCAAGGTTCAGAATGAAGATTGAAATGCAAATGGTGGAAAAAAGCTTCATTCGAAATTGACTTATACAGAAAAACTTTATCTATTTCATTCGTTTAGCAAATAATTATCAATAACAAACGCAAAAGCAGATATAACCAAATGGCGAAGGGGCTGGTGTCATCAAAGCATTTTAACTATCACCCTGTTCTTTTTTCTTCGATCATCCTTCCATCTTTCGTTCAATCATCACAATTTTCTTCAAACCAATATTGAATGTTGAAAAGATGGAAACTGAACACAATTCTGCCTTCGTATAGTCCTGAAATGTATTCAACTGAAAATTATTCAATTTGGAATGAAAATAGAACTATTTTTCATTTCCTGCCATACGGATTCAGAAATTCATATGATTACAGAGGAGTTTGTTCCACTCCATATATCTCGAACCATTTGTTTTTTGTCCTGTTTGAACTTGAAGTATTATTTCATTTATTAGTTTAGTTTCATAAAGATTTGTTTATACATTTCAAGAGCGAATTGGAGCCGTGAAATTGTACAACGAACAAAACTATTAAAATTAAAAAGGTCATGTTATCAAAGGGAAGCATTCGGGCGAATCTGTATGACACAAAACGTATTGTAATTGCTACATAGAATATTCAAAACTGATAGCGTTAATAACAGATAATATTGCCGTTCAGCCGATAATGAAGGCATTATTGTTACAGTGTTAGGCCAAGTTGCGCAGTTTTTACCTTGGTTATCTTTAACCTATATGTGACTCGTTCGTGCACGTGCACGTGAATCAACAAAAAATTACGGTACGGATATAATTTAAATCCATAACATGCCAAATTCACACCCAATATCTCTCAAAAGTAAAAGGGAGAAAAAAGAAGAGAAGAAAGAATAGAAGAGAAGAGATGGAAAGAAAAAAAGACAAAAAAAAGAGAAGAAACGAAAAGGAAAACAAAATAAAGAGGTGGAAGATGAGGGGAGAGGAGATTAGAGAAGAGGAGGGGAGATGAGATGGGAGAAAAGGAGAGGAGAGGAGCTGGGGAGAAGAGGAGTGGAGGTGGTGGAAAAGGGGAAAAGGAGGATGTGGGAGGTGGGGCGGGCAGGAGGAGGAAGGGATAAGTGGGGACGAGGACGAGGAAGAGGACGATGACGATGACGATGACGAGGACGAGGACGAAGACGAGGAAGAGAAAGAGGAAGATGTAGAGAAAGAGAAAGTGGAAAAGGAAGAGGAAGAGAAAGAGGAAAAGATGAAGGAAGAGGAAGACGAAGAAAAAGATATTGAGGAAAACGAAGAGGAGGAAGAGGAAGAGGAAAAGAAAGAGGAAGAGGCAGAGAAAAAGGAAAAGGAATAGGAACAGAAAAGAGGAATAGGAATAGGAAGAAGAAGACGAAGACAAAGAGAAAGACAAAGAGGAAGAGAAAGAGGAAAAGAAAGAGAAAGGGGCAGAGAAAGATGAAGGGAAAGATAAAGAGACAAACACAAGAGGATTGAGTTCTCTGTATGAATATGAAAATATAAGTGAACAATAAGAAACAACAAAAAATGGTTGAAAAAACATACACATGAAACTTGCTAGGTTAAAAATGGTCGGTTTAGAACTATGCGAAACTGTAATAGGGTGTAATACTCAAAATTTCTTAAACTATTCTTCTGTATTGATTGGTATCAATATGTGTCTCTTTAGTGTTATTCGGCAGATGGTTATACATTTTGACACCATTGTAAAATGAGGAATCCTTCACCAGAGAGTAACAAGTCATAGTCATTTTAAATTGTTGCGTAAGCTCTGATAAGTTATAGGTGGTGACCTCAAGTTTCGTCAGATGTATTTCAATCCAACACACTGTCTCCAGAATAAAACAAACTACAACTTCGGGACTCATGCAGTCCTGAGGTTTAGCTTTACACAAGTAACGTATAGCTCTCTTCAGTAATACAAGTACGGACTCCAACAAATTAGAGCTACACACACCCCAAAAAGGTATACCGTACCTTAAGTGGGATTACCAAAACGTAATATGCTGTTTTTGCAGTATAAACTGCCAGTTCTCTAGCAATAACTCTCACTGCATAACAGCCGGTGGAAATTCGTCTTTTCATCTTGTTTTTAAGTGTCAGATTTCAGTTTACCGTCTACATATATACAATACCAGAAATTAAGTATAATCCCTGTTTTCAATGATACCACTTGCTTCAGATGATTTATGAAGTGGGCATTCAAAAGTCATATTATTTGTTTTGGAAATATTGAAAGAGAGTAGATTGGAGTCACACCAAGACTCAGTTTTTTTGTATATCATGAGCTATTGTCTCATTGAGTATATTATTGATTATATTCTCTATGCCACAATATATTGGTGACGTCGGCGACACCAAATCGTTAATATACAACAAGAACAAAATGGGACCGAGAACCGATTCCTCTGAATCACCTGTATTCATTCCAATATTAAGTCGTTTTCACAATTTGTCAACGACCCTTCTTCCTATTGGAATACACCTCAACCAAGAAAAATAATCCTGCATCATGTGTGCTGTTATTGTTCTGTTCATCCTTTAGAAAAGATGAAATCATGCCATTTCTAACTGAAAGATTGATCAGTGAGTTTTGAGCGCTTCCCTTAGAAGATTTTCAATAATTTTGAATGAAATTTTATCATAATCAGATATTGATTCATTCCTTATATCTCTGAAAACTTCAAACAGTTCATCAATATTCGTATCATCCAATTGAAGAGATTTATTGATTGCAACATTTTCTAAACTAATCAATGGATCATATGATACCACAATATTTCGACTGAGCGAGGCTCAGGATGCGGAGTTTACTCCAGATCACTAAGCCTAAGGATTAAGTGGGAATTGGAAAAAATGCCAGCATGGTTCAAACAGAACTGGCAGGTATCTCAATCATCCCAAAAAAAAATAACCTAAAAAGGAATTTCTGGCATAAACTTAACAATCTGCAGTGATAGTAGACAAGCCCTATTAGCCTTGAACAGGCAACTTGTTACCTTAGGGCTAGTTCTAGAATTCTGCCAACATTTAGCCAGAGCCTCGGTAGGTAATAACATTATCCTGAGGTGGATTGAAGGGCACGACAGGAGTTAAGGTGATTGCATTGCTGACTCTTTAGCCAATGAAGCGGCTGGATACAGAATTTTAGGACCCAGTGACACCTACGATCTGATGACTTCGACAATTGCGGAACTAACCAAATGTCACATCCATGCTCAATCCCTAAAGAGATAGGATGTAATCAAAGGATGCAGTCTTGCCAGGATCACCCTGGGCAACCCTGGGAAGCTGGCGCCGAAGAAATTCCTGGCGTTACCAGGAAAAACCTACGCTCACCAGTAGGATTTCTAACTGGCCACTGTTAACAAAGGAACACCTCCATATAATGGGGCTAGTGGACACACCTCTATGCAGGATGTGTGAACAAGAACATGAAACTGTCAGTTATCGTTAATAAGAGAGTGTGTGTTCGGTGAGTCTTGGCCTAGACCAGCCGTCCATCCTGTGACAGGATGGACGACGACCAAAGAGAACAACCCATCGGGAGGATGTACAATGGGTCACATATGACCTGAGTGCTGTGGGCCTACACTCACCCTCCTTACTCTACAGATACAGATTCTGACTAAGTTTCTGTTGAATCAAACAGTATAACTCATTAATATTGTTCACACTAATTGGTATCTCAATGTTTTCGCTCTTTTCTGTACCATTTCTTAAATCATTTCTGATAGATCAACTTTCTTCCTTTTTGTTACGTGAGTTTATCAATCTAATTTATGAGGTAAATTTCTTCAGTAAGTCTGATGGGATTCCTATAAGTTGTCCTATAATTATTGAAATATGAAAAAAAAGTAAGGAAAATCAATGAATTCTCATAGGTGGTGTGGAGAACGAAGATTCATTGATGAACTTTAATTCAACGGTGAAATAGATTGTCCTGATGACTTTTCAAATGAGTTTGTTGAAAAATGTTGAGCAGAAATTTGTACCTTCATTTCTAATTTTCAATATTTCTGTATTTTTCCAACTGAAATTCCAAAATGTGAAATAATCCGCACGCACAAATTACTTTCGAATAAATAACGAAATACTCCCTCTGTTCCAGTGAAAATATCTAAATACACATGCTCTTTCAATTCTCTTGTACATTAATGTCTCATTCGCAGAACGAATCCATCATGGTATCCGACGGTAGCCTCATATAGTTAATAAACCAGTAATGAAGATACTCACGATGACTACGATGACTAACATGACTACGATGACTACGATGACTAACATTAATAATTAATATTTTCAGATTTGACCTTGTCAGTTTGTTAAGAAAATATCTTACTAATTATCTTTGATTGCTCCTGTCACTTGTAATTAATAACGCACATGCAACAACTGCTTGATTAATGCATACGTTGTTTCAATTCCCACACACCTGTGGAACTATATACAGGGTAATTCACATCCAACTGGAGCCTAGTATATTCTTTTGGAGAAATAATGGTAGCAGAAGGAAGTAATACGGTTGACGATATTTTATTTTCGATATCGTTTGATTTATTTCAATATTGTTTTGTTTCTCAGTTGCCTTTATAAAAATTCAGAATTTTTCAGAGAATTTTGCGATCGTCAATAGAATTCAGCCAATAATTCTGCATTGTTCACAAATTTTTGATATGGGAAACTCACTGAACATACTTCTGAAATGGGCAGGGTTCGAATCTGCACCCAGCCAACATTGGTTTCTTCGATAGAAATCACCAATCAACTCATTTTGTGACCGAATGTGTTAAGAAAGTGAATCCGTCAGAATTGAATCAAAATGAATTTAATTGAACCTAATTGAATTATCCAATTCATTGTACTTTCCATAGTTTCGAATCATGCCACTGTTTCACTATTTATACACTCATGTATGAAAATATTCTCAGTTGAGTGGTAGAATAATAGCGTAAGCTAAACTCCGCCAAAATAAAAATCAAGACCATTTATTATTATTATTACTTAAGAAAATATTCATATGCATTGTAGCCTCCAGAATAATGGAGCACGTAGCACATCAACCTGTTATGTGACAATCAGCATGGCTTCAGGAATAATCGTTCCATAGAAACAATTTCATATCACTTTCTCAACATTATATATTCCTGGATGCTGGTAACTTTGTTATAAGCGTATTCCTTGACTTGTATGAGGCATTATTTGACTGTTGGTCATTGGTCATCTTATAAGTTGATTAGTCTTGGTCTCCCAAACGATGTATTGAGATGGCTGAGCTTCTATATGGAGGGGCGCTGTATGTCAGTCAAAAAGAAGGCACCTTATCAGATGAGTATGCCGTTAAATTGGGCGTTCCTCAGGGCTCAGTTTCAGCCGCATTATTATCCGTTATATTCACTAATAATTTTCCCTGACAACGTATGGGTCTGACACATAACGATATTGCAGATGACACCACTGATACTTTCACTGAACACACTATGGATGGATGACATGGTAGCCAAAATTAGTAGCATTATCGATGAATTCCCTTCTTGGTGTGAATGAAATCGCCTTGTCTTGAACACCACAAAATCATTGTCAATGAAATTTTATAACAGGAAAAATAATATTCAAGATTCAGTGTTCTCTACTGAGTCACATGAAGTTAAATTTTTGGGAACAATTGTGGAACTCTAATTTCGGTGGTGTCTGCAAGCAACTTAATGAAGCATTTTTCTCAATAAAACAAATGAAAAACTGTGTAGACCCGAAAGGTCTGATGAGCATCCATCATGCAATGTCTTTCTCACATATTTTCTTGTATATCGTATCTTGGGGATGCACAGACTTCAACAGGGGCAGAAACGTATTCTGAGACTGATGTTTGACATGGAATATCGTGAAAGTAGTAAACCAGTATTTATAAGAATGGAATTGTTGTATGTCCCAGCCCTGTAGTCTTTGTCAGAAAAATCTTACAATTCTCACAACTGATGGATCCTCTCACAATTTTAATACCCGTCAATTGAGAATTCCCCCTTCCCCACAGGACAGCAAAGTTCCAAAAATCACTCCTCTATAATGAAAACAACCTGTATTATAAACTGCCAACTTCGATTAAAATTTTGAATACTCGTACGATAATTTAATGTTGTCTTTTGTTCTTTTTCTAATAAGTCTAATTAGTGTTATAGTATACTTTCTGTTTTTAATTGACTCACCACATGTACATATTGTACCTGATTGGCGAAAACGAATTATCGTTATTATTATTATTCGTTCATTCGATGATTTCAAGATTTTCCACACACACTTTTTTTTCATAATGAAATTGTGTATTGGTATAGTTGTTGC